AAGTTACCAGCCTGTTCTTCGAGTGCAGCGTCGGACTCCGCCTCATAAATAGACGAGGCAACAACTTTTTATCGTGCAGTTTTCTAATCTATATTTACGCCTTCACAAATACGGTCTTCAACTAGATTACTAGTTACCGCCTCATTAGTTACCTTGCCAAACTACCAAAGGCTATTAACCTCCCATGGCGTACTTCGCTTCCCTTCATAGGCGTCTCTCCATTACCCCTGATTGGGAGCTAGGATGGCCCCGAGTTGCTCTCAAATTTCTATTGGGGAGCTTGAGAGAACCCGGCACCTAAGTTACTATTCATAAGTCTCTCGATCTTATTATTGAGCTCGTGCTAGAAAAGAAAAAGAAAAAAGGGGAGATATGCATAAACGTGTAAGGGAGAGTAGCTAGGGAACTAGGGAGGTAGTGGACAAGGATAAGGCCAAAACTAGAGTTAGATCTTACGGTGGACTAAAATTTAAAATTGAAATAAACGTGGACTAAATCTTCTTCTTAACAATGTTATGAAGTAAAAGAAATTTTGGGACCAACTATATCATTTTAGAAAAGTGCCAAATTTATCTAGAATGTTTGTCCGATTTAGCTTCTTAAAGGGCGCGTCCCTATACGAGGGATAAATAAGAAGATGATATGTTAAAAGTTATTTTAATAAGGTTAAATTGCTACATAAAGAACACAAGTAAAATGACACAACAAGAAGACCTACGATGTAGAAGAACTTATCATGAGTTATACAAAAGTGTAAAAAATTTAAAAAAAAAATTAAGATTTTTCAATGTAACCATCATAATTAGAACATTATTATTGGTCAAAGAGAGGACAACTTGATGCTACCATGATAAATATGGTAATAAGACCCTTTCACATGATTGAGCAAAAATACTTTCCAAATTCTTATTAAACCATCATATTTTTCCATCAGAAAATAGAAAATTTAATTAAAATAAACACAAAATGAAATATGGATTGCTGCATCTGGCGAGACCTGAATAGAAGACAGCCACAAAGATGTCTCTAGTTGCAGATATTAAAACAAAGAGGGTCACCAGTATGAGTGGCACCATACACTCTACAAAGACAAAACGAGTACCCTTTGTCCACTCCATTATTTTCAGATTTCCACTTCTTCGTGTTCCCTATCACAATCACCCCACCCCACCCCACCCCAAGTGACCCTTTAAGCCAATATAGACATATCCATGCATACCGTATATTGCAGCAGAGCCTTTAATTTGAAGACCATCTTTGACCATATTCTTAGAGAGAGAAACAAAATGTTTGTATGTGTATATATTTAAACATATAGATTTGTTTTTGGTTCTCTTGGTGCAGATAGGGTCCAGTAGAACAGACAAAAGAGAGTGTGAAAAGAGACAGAGCCAAGAACATTGTAGCTTCTTGTAGAATACTATTTTTGATTCTTCCTTTCGTCTTTACTAATTTGGATGGACAGAGACATTAAAATATATATATATTCAGACACTGAGACACACATACTAACGTATGTACATCAGTACATCATGTGAGTGAATCTAGGTTTAAGAAAGTGGGATTTAATTATAACTATTTGTGTGTGTGTTTTAAGCTGTCTCTCCTAGGAATTCTCATTATGGCATTATATAAGAATGATTATTTTTTTGAAAGGTATCGGTGGTCATGTGAGATGTGTTGAAGTTCATTTTCTACTGCCATCTTAGATATTATAGAATAGAATCTTCTTGTCTTCTCTCTCTCCCTCCTAATATATTTATATATAAATATATATTATTTTTTTTAAACCTTGTTCTTGGTATATATAGATACACATCCTTGTTATTAGTGATATGGTGGTGGATTCTAGAGCTGCTGACATTTTGTTTGGGAACTCAATATTTCAAATCCCACCCTCCAATTTGTCCTTCCTGCTAAAGAAAATAAACGAATAACTCTACGTTTTGCGAGTTAGCATTCTCGAAGTATAGAATTCGTTACTTTTTGTCACTAATTAATTAACGTTCATAGTATTTATTCACGTCTGGTCCCAATTAAATAGTAAGTTTTAAGTATTTAAAATACGTGTCAATTAAATAGTAATAAGGAACGGAGTACTCCATACACCAATAGTATCTTCTATGTGGCATTTGGCCCTTTCAACGTGAAAAGTATCATTTAAGAGCAAAATATATACAATCGGTCACTAATGAGTTAACATCTGTAGTATTTATTCATGTCGGGATCCTGATACTTTTTGACATACATATCAATTTTAAATAGTGGCATGGAATTGAGTACTCCATACTTCAAAAGTACTAAAAAAACTCCATTTATCTTCTATGTAACATTTGGCCCTTTCAAGATGAAAAGTAGCATTTAAGAGCAAGATTTGAACTCTAGTTAACAAGTTTTCCCCTAGAAGAATAGTGTGCATCCCCTGGATGAGAATAATATTTAAAAAGCATAGATAATGAGGTTAAAATTTAAAAGAGCATATGAGGTACCTCTAGATTGATGCAATTACATGTGAAATATTCCCATGTATGCTTGTAACATGAATAAGTGAATAGAGTTTTCAGAATAAATATATGGAAAAATCCAAATGAAGTATCACGAGAATGGCATATCAAAAACGATCAAAAATAAAAAGGAAGGCCTGTCTCCATGACAGCTGCTGAAACTGTGCAGAAAAAAGCAGAACTCTGTGTGTGTGTGTGAAAACTGGCTACAAAAAGAGAAGGATGGAGAAGAAAAGATTTTAGAAGTCTTCTTCTTCTTCAGAGTTTTACAAATCATTTTCGGTTTTGAATATCGGGACTTGAATCTGACACTGTTTCTTCATATTCGTTTTTACTTAAGATTAGAACAATTAATGAATTTTTATGTGCATATATATGTTTTTCCTTGCCTCTGTTTGGAAAATAGGGGCATGTTCTTTTTGTTATTTTCAGGTCATTTTTAATTTTTAATTTTCTAAAATATTAAAAACATGTTTACTTACCTATTTTCAAAAACAAATTTTCAAAAACAAATTTAAAATTTACAAATAAAACGGAAAACGCAAAAAAAAAATCGTTTTAGCCATTTTCAGTTAAAACGAAGCCCAAAATTCATTTTTTTATTTTTGAAATAATTTTTCAAAATGACAAGAAAAAACACATTTTCATCAATTTCAAAATAGACACTCAAAACACAAAACCGAAAATGAATTCAAAACTCAAAACTAAAAATTGAAACACGAAGAGAACATCCCCTAAATTATTTGGAAACGGTGTCTAGTTTAATATTGAGATTAAAGCTTAAATTTTCAAATCTTGCACTAATTAACTATAACTGTTTGAATAAATAGAAACAATAATCTATGTTTTGAATATAGAAACATTGGTACAACAAAAGTCTATCGGTCTATTGACTGCATAGCAATGAAATTATTGCCAAGAATCTCTTTATGGAGAAAGCTCACAAATTAGAAAGATAAAAAGAATTTTTTTGTGATTAGAACAACTTTTGTTAAACATAATTTGGGCTTGTAAGACAATATAAACCCAGTAAAAGAAATTTAATTATGGGAGAATTACTCCAATTAATTAAGATAGATGAAAATGGAGAACAGCCAAACTCTTTTTTCGAAAAAGATAAAAAGACACTCAGGCGTGGGGAAGGATAACAGTTATAAACTTTTTTCCCCAATAATGAGAATCAAAGCGATGATCAAAATAATCAGTTGTGTATCTCTGTGAAATAATTACTCATCATATTCCTGCCTATGGATTCATTTTTATGAATCTCTGTCTTGGTTTTTACAATTTTTTTTTATTTCTGGATTTTTGTACCAAATTCTTACACGTGTTACTGTTCATGCAGATGAACTTGAGCCATCTAAAAAAAAGTATTTATAAAAATAATTTTTGTTTGTGTAGGTAGGAGGAGGGCCATAACAAGGAAAGGAAAAGGAGGGATGATATTCTTGGAAACTTTTTAGGTCAATAATTCAAACACCTGAAGCAAGAAAGAGCAGGTGAGAAGACACTATTAGCTTAATGGTCGATGCCAGTGCCTGAGCTTCTCTATGTGCTGGCATTTCGCAGATCAGAGAATATAGTCCACATGCATGATCATGTTGTATTGAATTTTGTAACATTTTGTGTATATATACGTACATAGAGAGAGAGAGAGAGAGAAGAAAGAGAAAAGGAGGAAGAGAAGGAGAAGAAGAAGGGTGATGAGTCTTGAACAGGCTTTAAATCCCATCACGTAATTCGATGTATGGCTTTACCTTATATAAATCTGCAAAGAAACAGAAGCAGAAACAACAAAAAGAAAACTACAAAGACATCCCTTTGACGTCAACTTTCTTAATCTTCCATTTCTATTTCTTTCTTTTAAATCACTTGCATTCCATTCTTCGAAGCAGGGAAACGTTATTTTCAATTACCAAACTGCCCTTGGAAGTTGGAAATTGACGTGTTTTGATTTACTACATAAATTTTACAAGAAAACAGTTTTCTTGGATAAGATTTCTGAGTTCTTGTGTCAAGCCTGACATATATTCTTTTTAACAAGAACACCATCCGAGCTAAGACTGGTATTTTACTTACAATACGTTCTTCACATACTATACTAGGATAGTCGAACAAGTAACAGTAAGATAATGGCGATGTGTTTGTTTAAAGAAGGGAGACAAAAAAGTGAAATTGAAAAAAAGATATTGAAAAGGAAGAGAGGAGAGGGGTGGCACCGTCAATTTTCTTACCCGCACAAATGAAATTGTGGTTTGAGTGTGTGTGCGCGCGCTGAGAGAAGAGAGAGGAGAGAGAAAGGGAGTCACGGGTTTGTCTTGAAAAGCCCTTATTTCACAGACCTAGAGAGACAGACAGACAGATATTCCTCTCTCACTACTACATACCCGATGTGAGGTTAATATAAAAAATCACTCTCACACACACAACTATCAGTTAATCCACTATACATTTCTCTCATCAAAGCCTTTGTTCAAAACCTCATCTTGTTCTTCAATGGCTTTGATGCTAGACAACTGTGAAGGAATTTTGTTATCTTTAGATTCACATAAATCGGTTCCGGCGCCGTTTTTGACCAAAACATACCAGCTTGTTGATGATCCAAACACAGACCACATTGTTTCTTGGGGTGAAGATGATGCAACCTTTGTTGTTTGGCGGCCACCGGAGTTTGCTCGGGACCTTCTTCCCAACTATTTTAAGCACAATAATTTCTCTAGTTTTGTTCGCCAGCTCAACACCTATGTAAGTTCTTTATTACAGATACATGAAATTATGTTTTTATGATGTATATGCTTGTTTGGGATTTTTTTTTGTTTTGTTGATGTTTTGATGGTGATGAAACTAGGGTTTCAGAAAGATTGTACCAGACAGATGGGAGTTTGCAAATGAGTTCTTCAAGAAAGGGGAGAAACACTTGCTGTGTGAGATCCACCGGAGAAAAACAGCTCAGCCGCAAGTGACCTTGAACCACCACCACCCTCTTAATCAACCTATGAGCGGTCCAAGTTTCTTTCCATACCCTAGCCGAGTCAGCATCTCCCCACCTGACTCGGACGAGCAGCAACAGAACAATCACTGGCGTGACTCGCCGCCACCTCTATCTTCCCCCACCAGTATCTCCGCCGCAATGAATGGCACGAGTGGTGGCGTCACCTATGCTTATAACTCAGTCACAGCACTTTCTGAAGACAATGAAAGGCTGAGGAGAAACAACAATATGCTTGTTTCTGAACTAGCCCACATGAGGAAACTATACAATGATATTATTTATTTTGTTCAGAACCATGTGAAACCAGTGGCACCTAGCAACTCTTATCCTTCATCTTTATTCTCTACTACTACTGCAGCTACACCCATCAGCGGTTCTTCAATTGTTCAAAAGCCATTAAACCAGCTTATTGGGTACCATCAGATGGCATCAAACCCTAAACAAGGTAATACTTTTCTGGGCTCATTCAACAACTCTAACAATCCTAGCAAGACTTCACAGAACAGTGTGAAAATTCTTGAAGACCCTGCAAATAGTGAACCCAGCAGAACTAAGCTATTTGGTGTGCCACTCTCGTCCAAGAAAAGATTACATCCAGATTATTCTTCTTCAGTTGAGATTAACAAGACAAGATTGGTCTTGGAAAAGGATGATTTAGGGTTGAACCTCATGCCTCCTTCTCCATGTTAGCTTTTCTTCATGCCCCTATTCAAGATTTTAAGAAAGAACCAAAAAAAAAAAAAAGCCTTTACTGTTTAATCTCTAGCGATTGTTTTCATTAATTTTCTGTTGTTTTTTTCTTTCAATCTTGGAGTTTTAGAGTCCTCTAGTAGAAGTGTATTTCTAAAGGATGTTTCAGTGCTAAGTTTGAGAAATTGTGACTTGTTCTGTGTAAATATTACTGTAGTGGCGGCGTTATCTTGCTGATCCCCCAGCCATGAATGCATTTGGGTTTTGGTTAGAGTGTAACAAGAGCTCAAATCAAGTTCAAATCCCCAAAGATTATCTTTTTAGTTCTATGACTTTGAATTCAACTGCCCTCCATTATTGGTTATCTACTCTTCTCCTTCTTTTTCCTCTCTTTCTGGTTTTGTTATCTGAATATTTCAGCTAGATTAATAAATGCACACTGAGATAGAAAAGGATAGAGAGAAAGTATGTGAGAGAGATAACCCTGGACTTCAATACTTTTTCTTTTCAGTTCAACTTAGAAGAAAACTCAGAAAGATTTCAGCCTCTGACTCAATGAAAAATATTTTCTTGTTTTTTGCTTCTCTGACCAATGCATTTAATGAATTATAAGAAACTAGTACATTTCTTCAATTTGGATAAGCTTTATTCAAACCAATAACTTGGGAAATCACGAATTAGTATAAATTTAACATCATTATTGTTTTAATTATCAGTCATTATTACCGAGAAGAAAGACTCCCCGGCCACCCCACTATGATTTAGGAAAAGAAGGCCATGATTAAGGATCTCCCAATATTTCTCGTTTATCTGAAACTGTACAATCATGTGTACCCAAACAAAAATGAAAAAGTGAGAAACACATGCAGAGAAGAGATGAAAATGGTAGTAAAATTATAAATTATTATATCTATGAATATTGTATAATGAGTAAAAGACAGTGTGTGTTATTCGATGAAAGCGAAATGAAGGAAGAAACTGACTAACAATGTGGTTTGATATGTTTCTATCAAGGCTTCTATACTTCTGATACCCAGAAAACCTTTGCCTTTTCCTACTTTAAGTATCTGATCTATCTCTTTAACACCTTACATGGATT